CGTGAGCGTGTAACTAGCTTGTTAAACAAATGGACTAGAATATGATATTTCCCAAATAAGAATCGGCAAAGGAGAAACTTCTTACCTGCATTACCCATTTTAGTAGACACCAGTAAGGCCATAACCCATTTGTATAAAAACATTTAAAATACACATTGGTGGGAGAAAATGCTTGTTATATTTGTTACTTTGTTAGTATAAATACCATTTAACATATTAGCATCAAGACAACTATCAATTATCAGGTTACTCGAATAACCATGTCTCGGGTCCTCCTTTTCTTCCTCTTTTCTTTCTCATTGGATCAATCAATGGTAATATATAATCTTATTATATCAAATCCATTTCTGTCCAAGCTCATCAATGAAACTACAAAATATAACAATGAATTGTGATCAGGACGATCATGTGGACCGACGCCTACCACGCCCGATTGGAGGGCTCAGATGGAACGCTCCGAGGAAGCGCAACGTCAAGCCGGAAGGATAGGTTTCGAGGGTGAAGGGTACTCAGGTGGTTCAAGCAACGCGGGTTCAATCTCTGTTGTTGATATCTTTCTCGAACTCGTCTTTCTTTTTGTTGTTATTGGTTTCGCCATTGGCGTGGCACTTTAACTTTATTATAGGTCAAGTGGTAGGAGCTCCGGTGGAACATGGAACTGAGCTCAATATCCAGAAACCAAGACCGTCCAAAAGGGAGATCCTCATTACAAAGTTTGATTTATCACAAATATTGATAATCGTTAATTATCGATTATCTATTGGTTATGTGTTTCCGATTATGCTATATATGTAATCTCTTTGGTTTGGTTACATTTTATTCTTCAATTGTTTTGAGACTGAACAAACATTTTCATTATTACTTTATTTGAATTGAATGTCAAATTTATTCAAACAAAAAAAAAATTGCCAAAAACGACAAGTACAACACTAATTTAGAGTGCAAATAAATCTAAAATTATATTTGAAAGTCTAAACTCATCTAGAAGCAAACCATGCTTCCATTCCTCTTTCAAAGAGGCTATCTCAGATTCACCTTCCATGTTCACCGAACATTTTCATGTTTCATTGCATCTATTTTCTTTCTCCGAGAAAATGATATGAATGGTTCGATTGATTACCTTCATCATTAGGATAAAAAATATACTAATTTGATTGTTTACCAATCACATATATG